TGGGAGGTCCCATCCCACCCAAACCAGCCTGTGATTCTATGAATGAGTACCAAGGGGGAACAGGACCTGAAGGCAGTGACCCAGACAAGCCCCCACTCCCCAGCCAGCCCTGAGGCCCGGGCCCACGCAGGGACAGACACTTGCCGACCAGGCAGACATGGGCACATCTCACTGCAGTACATCCCACTCAGTTACTGACAGAATGAAGCTCATTACAAAACAAAACTCATTCTCTCTGATTCCATATTAAAATTATTATAAGCTTAAGGTATTTATACATCTTCCAGGGGAGTATCTGACTACGTAATAATCTTTTGTTTTGTCAGCAATAGCTTCAATTTGCATTAGGAGGAGGTGAAATGTGACAACTGCTGCATCGTTAATGCCCAGAATCTCCCATGACAGAAGGGAAGATACGTAGCCACCACTGTCCTACAATGAATTAGCCCAATTAGGATGGTACACAAACAAACAAACGTGCAAAGTAAAACACCACTTTACCAGCAAGCTTTTCTGTCATGTCTTGTTTTGCTTTTCCATTCAGAAACTGGGCTTTTGTACAGAATGGCTGGAGGAGCAAATAGTTGTCTAAATGCAAAGAACAAAACATGTTACAATTCTTAAATAGAAAATTAAGCAGTCTGAAAATAAACACAATATGGAAAAATGTAAATAAGAATCTTACTTATGATATATTAACTTCCAAAAGCACAGTGATGTATTTAAGGGCATAAAAAGATACTCATAACAAGCCCTAACTCCCAGAATCTGGTAGAATGTGGCATATTCATTTACTGAAAATACTAAGATTCTGCTCCAAAGCTAAAATAGTTGAGGAAGGGAAATAGTTGTGGCATACACAAATCAGCAAGAATCTCGACCTGTTTAAGAGATTCTGCAGTGTGACAGACTTCTGGATAATGAAACGCAGAGTGATGCAGACTGGTTGAGGCAGGCAGGGACCTCTGGAGATCATCTGGTCCGACCCCTGCTGAAGCAGGGCCACCGCAGCCAGTTGCCCAGGACCTCTTCCAGGTGGTTTCTGAGTATCTCCAAGGGTGGAGACTCCACAGCCGCCCTGGGCAACCTGTGCCAGCGCTCGGTCACCTCACGGCAAAATCACCTGCTACGGGAAAGAACAAAACCGCCTACGCACGCCTGGCAAGTCCAGTCAGCTCTATTTATTTATTGGGTGGGCAAAACATTAAGATGATCTGTGTGGTTTAAAAAAGTCTGAGAATAAGGCCAATGATTCATTATACAATCTAATGATCAGATGGAAACTGCTGGAAAGAGTAACTCTTTAAACTTAAAATTTAATTAATACAATTGACACTTTTTAAAATCAAGAGAGAGTAATTTACTTACCTAAGTGTTGGCATAAAGCCTGAATAACATTTGTGGCAGCTGCATAAATCCCTGGATTTTTGGAGTTCAGGTTGTTGTCTACCATGGCAGGAATTAACATGTTGATCACAGGTGATAAATTGTCTTTCAGCAATGGAATCATTTTGTGCATGGTCTCCAGAGCAACCTGATTTACTTTACTGTTTGAGTCATGTAAGCGAGACTTGAAAGCATCAAAGATCTGAAAAAGTATACAGCATTCATCAGAATCACCAATTAATTTTGAGGTGGATGTTACATTTCATGCCTTATTCTTACACTTTAATTGTCCACCTTACCAAAAGATGGCTCTGATATGCAAACACCCGGGATACCTTTTTTAGCAAGTAAAGTGGTATTTGGTTTTTTTTCCACTGTGTATTATTCAACTGTATCTCACCTCATCTGAACGCGAACCATTCCTATACAATGTAAGGGAGGTAAACTAGCCATCTGTAACTTTCAGTATGACTAATATTTTCTGCAAGCAAGTATTTTTAGCAAGACACAGCTCTATTTAGCAAAAAGAATGTTTTATAGATTTCAGAAACATTCACAGTTAACAACTGTTGGGCCTCATCATGCTATCTGTGTCCTAAAGACTCTCCTTTCCTATTAGAAAGGATACTTACCTTAAGCTTTCTCATGCTAAAGCCCTTTCCTCCCCTTCTGCTAGACAAACAAAGCAAGCAGAACTCGCAGCTGTGTTTCAGAGACAGTTTTTCAGATCTTGATTAATCCTCGCTGCTTTTTGTAACCTTTTTATATTCTAGTATTTCGATATTTACTCAGCAGTGGCATGAAAAACTGCATGCAGTATTCCAGAAACAGTTCCAAGAGCTCCTTCCTCCTATTTCCTTCCTTTACTACCTTTGTAGCTTACATTCCTCCCCCTTGAGCATACCTCACCTATTCCTCAATGTTTTACTGTGAATCAGACATTCTTACTGAAAGAGGAAGCCAACACTTTCATCAGAAAACTTTGAAGACCTTTGAAATGAAATGTTTTCATAGAGTTACCTTCACAAGGTTTGCAATGACAAAGCCCTGATTGTTCTCTGTATCTGATAACAGCTGCTTAATGCCATTTATTCGATCACGGAAGTCTTTTGCATTCAATAAACCTATAATGTCTTTAACATATTCTTCACTTTCTAGTGCGTTACGAGGAGCTGTTTTTCTGGTGATTTCACGGGCCTCTGTAGTCTCTCTATTGGGAAGGAAAAAGTTATCCAGTGAACACAAAAGCAAGCTGAAACAGGAGTCTTTAATCTCAGACATTCTCTTTCCGTCTAAGTGCAAATACCAAAAGTAAATGGAAATTCTTCTGACGAAGGACTTCCACCGTAAACATGGTGATTTTAAAAAAAAATCACCTCACAGTAATCGCTGTTCCTAAAGTCTCAATATACATCGTAAAGACGTGTATAGTTATCACACAAGAGAGAAGCCTCAACTGGGCAGAAGCCCTGTGCCCTTCCAAGGTTCCGTACGAGAGCAGCTGGGTTTGTGACCAGCAGCAGCGGGGAACTTCCCTCACATCCACAGGTCAAAGAAAAAAAGTTAGTTACTGTGGTTTAATTCTTTATTCTCAAAGTACTTTAAACACTGATCCCAGTCTAGGTGGCACCTAAGCAACATGCCGTGCTGAGGTGGGAATCCAACAACTCTTCAGAGAGGATTTTGAGACAAATTTTCTGCAGCATCTAATCTTATTAGACAGTCCTGGAAAGAATTCAAAGACGGGTGGAATCACTCCTCTGTCCAGGTAAGTATCCTGCAACTTCAGGCCAGCCCTGGCAGTCGCCAGCTCATTCCTAACTCACGCACAGAAGTCTTTGGTGGGAAACGGAATAAGCGTCTGTCTTGCGTTGTCAAATTCAAACCTGTCGGGTCCATGAGAACAAAAGGCACCAACACCTCCTGTCCTGCCAGCGTGTCACAGGCCACTCACGGGACCCGGCTCAAAGGTGAGAGAGTCTTTGACGTACTGCAGTAAGTAGCACCTCCTCTAAGGAAGCAGACATGTGGTTTTACCAGCCAAAGCAAAATTTACCATCAAATGTGGACTTCATTATTATTTTGAGTAGTGGAGAAACGTGTTCCTGAACACGTTCCTGCCTGGAGGCAGTCAGAGCCCCAGGAACTCTATAGGCTTGGGTACAGGTTTTTGGTTTGGTTTAAATTTTGGGGGTGTTTCTTTTTCAGTTCAATAGAAGACAAACCAGAAAACTAACGATGGACAGAGTGTCATCTAAAACCTTCACAGCATCCCCAGCTAGGATCTAACTAACTACTCAGCGTCCCGGTACGGGCACAAACAGGTAACTTGGACTGTGGCACCACCAGGCACATTTTTTTCTATACAGTCTGAACAATGGTGTCTGAACTGATGGTGACGTGGATCTACTGTGAATTCCAAGTGGTTTGTGCGCTGTGTGTCTTTTCATGGGCAGTCAATAAACAATTAACTACAAAATGCACAAAGCCATTTTAATATTACCAATTAAACCTATTTAAAACAGTATATCTGGCACACGTCAAGTTTTTCCTTTTCCCTCGGGCATGTTTAGTTTTCACAACCCTGTTGTGAATGTTTCTATACTCCCTTCTTGCGGTGAGGCTATTATCCTGGAGGTAAAGTTACTAACAGGGTAAAACACAGAAGATCCTTACCTGTCAGTGATGCTGAGAGCATCTCTGGAAGTAGATGATGACCTCGAATGTCCAACGCTACAAGTGTGGGAACGTCTTCCTTTTGCTGAGGGTGTATCTAATGGCATCTCCCCCAAACCCTGCACAAAGGTGCAACCGTTAATTGACATGGCTGGTACAGCTCCGCACTGCTGTCAAATCGAGCCCGACAGCCGCGCAAAGCACAGTAGCAAAGTACATTTGACCCAGTGTATCTGCAAGGAGTGAGGCACGCACAGGGCAGCTGACAGCTACCTTGCCGTGCTGTGGTCGCCTGATTACTCGTCCCGCTCTGAATCCACTCCCCCCGTTCCCTGCAGGTTCACTGTCTGCACCCAACAGCCACTGGTACGCGGTCACGTCTCAGCTGTTAAACAAAAGGTTTTCCACACACCTTTTCACGTAGATTGCTAACAGATTCCTTAATGTAAGGCAAATCCTTGGCCGGCACATACTTTTCAAGCGTTTTATCAAAATCAGGATGAGTCATCATACTGAAGAGCATCTTTCGACCATAATATCTGCAGGGCAACAGACCACAACATACATATCCGTAAACACGAATTAGCTTTGTCGCTCTATTGACAATTATAGGTGCGTAATTCCAAAATGTGGAAACGCAGGAAGATTGCTGTCTCTACGTGTAACCAGACACCCTTTCCAGCCTCCCACAAAGAACCGACGCTCAACAACACATGCCATCAGTCTTGGCAGGGCTGGGTTAACGGTTCGACTTGATGATCTTAAGGGTCTTTCCCAGCCTGAAGGATCCTCCGATTCTGTCCTGTGTCACTGCAGAGGAGCGCACACTGAGCTCTGCAGAGGTGTCAGCCCCCTGCAAGGTGCTTATCTTGACTATTAACCTCACTAACCTTGTTTGCTGTGAACTGTCCTGTGCAAACCTGGCTATTGCAGGGAAAATCCGATCAGCCACAGCTTTGGTTCCAGACAGAATGCGCTCGGGTCCCATACGTTCCACAATGTCCGAGAGGTGCTGGGCCGTGCATCTTCTCACCGCTGAATGCAGGTGGCTACAGAAAACACAGCTGCTTAGTAAAAACCCACCCCAGGAGCGACACAGCAGTCTCTATGTGCTCTACCAAATACCGTATACAAGTTCTCTTTTTTCATCTTTAGCGTAATCTTCAACTAATACTGCCGCTATGCAGATACTTATTGTGGCTGTATAGAAAAGAATTTATTTTATATAGTATAGAAAATTACTTTATTTAAAAGGATAATGCATTGGATTAAATTTCATTTCATTGACTTAAAATTCCAAACGACAAGAACGCAGAATGAAAAATGAAAACTTGTATCCTTTTTGTTAAAACTCCGTTTCAACCTCTAACTGTGGCTTTTGGATTAATAAAACTATTTCCTTCTTTTTGGACTTTAATTTCTAGTTTTCCTTAAACTAATATTTTAGAAAGCACACTACTACATGTTCTTTCCATCAACTTTATGAAAAACCAGTCCCTGTGCTCAGAAACACATTGCGTACTTTATATCAATAGAAGATTAAACAAAGCAGTATTCTAATGAGTTCTAAAAACTTGCAGAAGTCTGTTGTCTACAGAACAGGGGCCATTAAACACCTCTGCTGATGAAAATAAGAAAAAAGCTGGAATCAGTTTTCAAATTCGTGCAGCAGACTAACCTTTTGTATAAATTCTGCTGTACCTGCTGACCCCACATGTTTTCAGAGTACGTGATTCCGAAATTCAAACTTTTCTGATTTTATTTTCATCTTTGGATTAAAAATCCTCCTTTGAGGACAGATTCACTGCACAGCAGACGAGACGTTTGTACGGCTCACCATTCATAGGGAAACACAGGTTTAAAGGGCAGAGCTAAGGAACTGATTGACTTGGTAAACCCCACCAGTGGCTGCCCGGCGTTGCCGTGTGACGTGAACGTCCAGCGTTCTTCCCAAACGGCTACCCACAGATCACCCCGGCCTCACCGGAAGCAAAGCTACTCCTAGACTGTGCTGAGCAAAGCAGCTTCGGTTTGCAGAGAGACAACTAACCGGGTCTGTTCAAACTGCAAAACCTGGCGGCTCCGAACACAGCCCAGGCTGCAAAATCTGTCCGGCAGCGCGGCAGCTCCCGTGCTGAACCCCCCGCTAATGCAGCCATCCTCTCAGCTGCTACTGAGCGTAAGACTAGCTTTTTATTATTATTATTATTAGTTTAAGACCAGCTTTAGCTCATGCTCAGCACCTGCCGTTACATCTGTACAGCAGCCACACGTCTCAGGAGAAGGGAACCTGCGACAGACTAACTCCTGCTGCACGTCCCGAGGGGAAAACAAGGACTGTGGGGCTAAAGACCTCACTCCGTGGAAGCAAACAAGCCCCCGCTCCCCACGAATGCCCGCTGCTCATGCAAAACGGTTGGAAATCTTTTTGTATGCACATAAGACTTTAGAATTAAACACAATTCATACAGATACGAAACATGACTTGAAAATGTCTGAAATGCAATCACTTTCAGATCTAATCCTGGAATCATGCTTTGGAACAAGCATCTGTTCATAGAGGTGAGGTTACAGCAGCAGTCCAGTATCCTTAGAGCAGCATCTCACAAAAGCAAACAAAAGTGGTTTTAGTTATTCTTGTTGGTAAAGTCAAAACCAATTTTGTAGCTGATGAAGAATCAGTATATGTATCTACTCAGGGTTGCAAGCGTTAATACTTGTGATCACAGCAGGTTTGAAATGTGTTGAGCAGAAAACAGGTAAGCTTTAACAGGTCTTACGAATTGTAGGCGAAAAGGTCAATTGGAATATGTTAAGTTGTGGTGAGTGTAAGCAACTCAATGCATAAGCCAAATTTAGAAAAAAAAAAATCTTTTGTATCATTACACAGTTGTGTCAAACAGAACCTTTCTATGTCGTACTGAAGACAAATGTAATTTTTCTCCCAAATTTCCACTCTGAAAGATAATTCTCAGACTCCTTGTTACAGCCTGCAGAGAGGACGGCTCCAGGTGTGCCCCTGGGCTTTGTTGCCAACATGGCCAGAGTTTCCTGAAGCCAGTGCTAGAAAAGCTGCAGCTCACAGCGCTATTCCAGCACCCGCTGATGTGTCAGGCATTAAAGCATACCGTACTCCATGAGTTAGACACGGCTCGGACCGAAGCCTTCTTAGCAGTGAAGAAATTCACCCCTGCTTGAAATCATGCATTCACACTCACAGCTCAGATAATTTTGATGCGTTAGATATCTGAGCTCACAAATCAGAGGGGTCAAATCTTTTTTGGTGTATAAAATTCCTGAGGATAGGTCAGCGCGTCTGAATCTGCCGCTGAAAAGGGGGAATCAGATGTGGCCAGTTACGACCATGAGTATGGCATGGCCAGGGGCTTCTGAAGAAAAGACGGGAGTACATCCACAGGCCACTTTGCACGGCTTCTGAATTAAAGCGATCTGCGGTTACTGCCGGCTGCTCTTAAATTCACAAAACCCACTAATACATGTGGGCATGTTTCATGAATAATTTAAATCCCAAGACTGACATTTGCCTTTCAGTTTAAAGTTCAGGTAATCGCAGTATGGTTCTCATCGGCTTTCAGGAGACAGAATCAAGATATTCCACAACAACCAGCGTCCCAGGAAACACAAAACGTTTTGAATCAAGACTAACTCTTACAATTTGTAGCTGTGCAGAAAGTTTAAGGACTGATTTATAGTGTAGTATCTGAAATATTTAATGGAAGGGACGAGCTACGATAAATGTAGCTTACTAAACATCACCTAAGTGATGACAGGGAGATGAGAAATTAAGTCCAAGTAGGTAAATATCTCACATACTGGAATGCCTAATGGCTTAAGTCTTGCTGTTACAGTGAATGAGGATGTACAAGAAAAAGAACAACATACTTAGCAGAGAAAGTGAAAGAAAGGAATGTAACTTCCACTACAGACTGCAGTGAGCCCGAGGTCAGAATCAAACCGTGCAACCAGAAACGGAAGCTTGTCACGTTTGAGGTACTCAAGAAAATAAAGGCCACCACCACTGCAACGGAAATTAAAATGCAGACAAAAAAGACTATTAACCAGCTAAGTCTGGAGAAGAACATGAAATCAACCAAGATAGCTGCAGCGAGAGAATTCAGAGTTAGAAATCATCTTTCAAAATAAAAAAGCAGTGCTGAAAACTGACACAGGCAGGCATGGGAGCGCAGAGCAAGCGAACAATGAGAGCGCTGGGTGAGCTTTACTAGGCAAAGCAAAACAGCACCTTCCTAAGAATACTGTACTAACAGCCAATAAAATTACTGAAGTCTTGCAAAACAACCAGAAAATATACCAAGCTCCAAAATCCACAGCCAACTTTGCACAGAAAGAAACAGGGAGGCTACATTTTACTTTTATGCCAACAAACGTTGCCCTGGGCAGAAGTTTTGCAGAGCTGACTTACTACATTTTCAAATTTCTGCCTACTGTAGTGCGATTTTTTTTTAAAAAAAAAAAAGACTCTATTTGATAAATTTAATCTATTCACAAGTTATTTCTTTATAAAGTCTTTATGAGAATTACCTTTGCCCTCCATTTATAAGAGAACAAAGTGCACGTGCTGGAGTCACATTATTAACCATAGCCTTCAGTGCTTTGTCTACCTCTTCCCTTATAAATGTGTTGGATTCACCAGCTTTGTGCAAAAGGACTTTTACTGTATTATCTACTTCTTGATCCATGCTCTTTTTCAGGTAGGTGAACAAATCCCCTAAACAGACCACAGCAGCTCGGGAAACACCTGAGCGTAAATTCTTGACCTGCACACAGGAAAAACCCAAACAAACAATGAATAATGTTTATAAAATACACTTTAACATAAGTAAAGCTTAATGTTTCCCTTTGTAATTTTTAAGTAACATTCAAAGCAACTGAGAAATACATTTCTAACTCATGAGAATTAAAATACAAACACATGAAAAAATGTTATAAAGTTACAATCTCATTTTTTCCAGGCTCTTAGTAAATCAGATCAAGTGTTGGTACCTGAAGTGTGAGCTGCTTTGCTGAACCACAAACTTTGAGACTGTCCAGCAGAGGAAAATTAACCCCACTGAACGTACCATTTCACTTCAGCGTGCCTGAGAGCTATAAAATACATATGCACACAGTCAGGGAATACTCTGATAGTAAAATTTAACCTCTTGAGCCACAGCCAAACTTGTTTCGTGTAGCTTTGCAGTCAGAATAGTCGCATGGTAGGCAGACAAGCATCTAACAAAGTTCAGACCTTCGATTTTCTTCTCCCTGTACAAAAAAAATATAAAATATTAAAACATTTGCAAATTTTCATAAAAATATTAAAACATAAAATTCTAAGAAACCAAAGAGCAAACAAATTCAATTGTAAAATAAAGCAATGACACGTAACGTAGGAAATTTTTTCCAAGCGAGTCTTTCTTTTAATGCGGTAGTAGGACCGGTTTAGCATACCGGTCTCTCAACTCCTTCCTGCAGTTCTGCCCACAGCTTGCACGAGTGGCGAGTGAAGGCTTGCCTTCCCTCCCCGGGTGGAAAAGGCAGCGGCGCCGTAACCCCGTTTCACCCACACGCGTTCCACAGACGGTGACAAGAAGGTGTTGGTGGGGGCCTTCTCTGGACAGACCTTAATCCCAGATGCCTCTACCAGCCCCTGAAAGCTTCACTCTCAGGCCACCATTTACAGCTCGCTCAGTTTAATCTAGATTTGGGCTGCAAAAAGGTTTTGTTGGTTTTTTCCTTTTCTCTCATGTATCACTTGCAATCCTTCTCACTATTTTTAATGTCATGTCCATTCTGCTTTTTTTTTTTTTTAAAGTAAGTTATCAAAATGAATGCCTTCTACATTAGATTCAGGTAGTAGACAGATGTTTGCACCTACCAGTCCTCATCAGCTAAAAAGGTCAGGGCTTCCGTCAGCGCCACTTCGGGTTTTGAGAAGGGCTGCAGCTCTGACGGGTCCATTATTTCTGGGCTGTGAGTGACTGACGGGGTCCGGTCTTTATAGCGGCCTCGTGCCCCAAAAGAAACGTCATCTGCGAGGTCGTGAAGAGTAAGAAATAATTAGCATAATCTGAAGAAACTAATTCATTCAAAGGAAGGAAACATAGAATGTCAGAGGCATATACAGACTGCTGCTACCACGGGCCCAGGTTTTCAAAACGACGGCGTTCCCAGTTACACCCTCGATCATTCAGCATTTCATCATGTGAATGAATATTTTTGCGAACAACCATCACTTTGAAAAGTCACAAACACAAATGCAGTGGGTCATTTAATGTAAAACCAGAGGCACAATGTGCTAAAGCACAGCGTGGTAAGACACGCTATAGTAAAACTTAAAGAGCCACCTGAGAAATTCTGAAGACCTTTCACCATCATTGGTATGAGCTTCTGTTCTGAAAAGATTTCTACTGCATATTTTAAAGGCATCTCAGCGACAAAATGTACCCAGAAATGTTTTGCTTCGAGACAGGAGACAATTTGCCATTAATATATTACATCATTTAAGTTGCTGAGCAAATAAAAAACCCTCTCATGTTTCAAACATCTTCCCGACAAATTATAGCTGGAAAATGTTTCAAGGGAGCAACAATGAATTCAAATCCCCTTCGCCCCCAGAGTACTAACCTGCCAGAGCACCTCAGGACTGTCCGTTGTACAAATAAATCATATTAAACCCGACTGCAGTTTGGAACTGTCCCACCCACATACCCAAATATTTTAGCAGTCTTTAGTTTACTGTAACAGCTTACCAGAATCAACCAGGGCTGAACATTTTGTCTTCTTCAAACTGGATGTTCTTTTTAAGGAAGAAGGATTCAAGGCCACGTTTTCTAATGACAAAGATAGATTTCTTGACGATGTTAATATATCCCCAGAGAGATTTAACTCTAGAAAATAGAAGAAAATGTCTGAACTACAACAAGAACAACGAAATCAGAAAAAAGGGAAAAACTAGTTTTTTCAGTTCTAGTTTGTCTTTTGGAAATTTTCTTAACTACAGTTTTTCAAATATTTCCCATAAGCGCGTTATTCTCCACCATTTGCATTATAAGACCAACAACAAATGACTGAAGAGTGAACTGCAGTGTAAAATTAATTCTAGTAATACCTTACGTCACACTAAACAGTCATGACTTTTTGGTAATTATCAGAGAATTTTAATTTCCATTTCAGCAGCATTCCATAGTCCATTATTCACTTATGACAAACACTAATCCTCACTTTCTGTTGTCATTTTCTCTGGTTCATTCAGTTTAAGCCTTTCCCAAGGGTTTCCTTCCTTTTCCTCGGGGTCTTTGTCTTCCTGATGTTCTTTATGACTCTGTTCTTTCTCTTCTTTCTTCTTCCGTCTCATCTTATCTTGGGCAGATTTTGACATGGCAACTTTTATCTGCAAAAAATTAATGCACCCATTATGACATGCAGTATCATATAATGCAGAAATTACCCATTAACTTGTTACCCAGTTCTTGATATCGTCCAAGGTAAGCACGGAAAATTACTATTTTCACCATTATTCTACAGAGCAAAAGGAAATTATTCACGTAACTATAAAATTCAATCCTGAAAAGAGCTGAATGTGTGCTTTCCGCACGACAAGTAGTCCTGTTGGCAAAGAGGAGCAACATTCCAGGTTTAAACATTTAAGGGAAATAATCACTTACTCTAAAATACCTGAACAGTAAGAGAACTAAGGTCTACAAGAAAAGGTCGTCTATTCCTT